GCCCTGGCTTTGCCTGGGGAGCCCTGTTCTTGATTGAATGACCGATTGGAGCTGGTGTCAGATGCCGCTCTCTTGGATGACCATTTCCAGCGACTAGGTGAGAGATGGTTGTCTTGAAGCTTCTCGCCCTTCTCCATCATGACCACATCAAGAAGCTCTGCACCACGGGAAAAAGCATCCCTAACATTCATAGAAACTATGCTGCCATTGCGCTTGGCTCTTTCTAAAGCCTCACGTCTCTTGATGGCTTTCTCTTGCCTCTTCTGCTCCTTATAGAACTCGGAGAAGTTGTTTACAATGATAGGGATAGGGAGTGCAATGACCAGTACTCCAGCAATGCAGCAGAGACCGCCAACTATCTTGCCTAACAATGTCTTTGGGTAAATGTCCCCATATCCCACAGTGGTCATGGTAATAGTAGCCCACCAAAAGGAGGCAGGTATGCTCTTGAACTTTGTGTCATCTTCATCCTTTTCAGCAAAGAAGACCAAACTTGAGAAGATCATGATGCCCATTGCTAAAAAGAGGATTAGCAGGCCAAGTTCATTGTAACTGCGTCGTAACGTGAAGCCGAGTGACTGTAGCCCAGTTGAGTGACGAGCTAATTTTAGGATTCGCAAAATGCGCATAATCCGAAAGATCTGCACCACTCGCCGCACATTCTGGAACTGCAGTACACTTTTGTTGGACTCTGTGAGGAAGATGGTTACATAGTATGGAAGGATAGCCAACAGGTCAATGACATTGAGTGGACCTTTGAAAAACTTCCATTTATTGGGTGCAGAAAGAAAGCGAAGGAGATACTCCATGGTAAACCAGGCAATGCAAACTGCCTCAACATGGGCCAGCTGAGGGTTGTCCGTGCTCTGGCCAAACTCATCTATGTCTTGCAGTTCTGGAAGCGTGTTGAGAGACAGAGCGATGGTAGACAGCACAATGAACAATATGGAGATGATGGCCAATATCTGTAGATTAGAAATATAAGAAAACACAATTAGAGAAAAATTTATTTATGTGGATTATGTTCTTCTACAATTCCTAAAGTATATATAATTATACATATTGTATATCTAATTGTGTTTCTTTGTTGTTTAGATCAGTGACTGGTTCTCTGTCAAATAGATGGTATACACTCACCGTCCACTTTAATAGGAACACGTGTACACCTGCTAATTTATGCAGTTATCCAATCAGCCAGTCATGTGGCAGCAGCTCAATGCATAAAATCATGCAGACACAGGTCAAGAGCTTCAGTTAATGTTCACATCAAACATCAGAATGGGGAAGAAGCGTGATCTTGAAACAGTGGCCAGATTGGTTTGCAAAAAAGCATCTCAGCATGCACAAAAAATTGAACCATGAGGTGGATGGGCTACAACAGCAGAGGACCACATTGAGTTCCACTCCTGTCAGCCAAGAACAGGAATCTGAGGCTATCGTTGGTACAGACTCACCTAAGATGTTTTTGTTTTTGTTTTGCGCACAATTCTGTGTAAACTCTAGAGACTGTTACATGTGAAAATCCCAGGAGATCCGCAGTTTCTGAAATACTCAAACCAGCTCGTCTGGTACCAACAACCATGCCATGGTTAAAGTCACAGAGATCACACTGTTCCCCATTCTGATGTATGATGTGACCAGCTGAAGCTCTTGACCTGTATCTGCATGATTTTATGCATTGTGCTGCTGCCACATGATTGGCTGATTGGATAACTGCATATAAAAGTGGACAGGGAGTGTACATTTTTGCTATATCCTGGCTCCTGACACACCTGTACCAATATGTAAGTTTGCTGTCTATACCTGGTTAAGGTTTGTTGAGAGCTGGGAGAGATCAAAATATAAACACTCTGGGGGGTCACCTTTAAATTATTATAGAACTTATAACATAACCAAGCAGTAACAATCAGTAGTTAACATGTATCTCTTTTGGTGTGGACAATCCCATAACCTGTCAGAGCTCCACAAAAGTTTTGACAAATGCAGTGGACCAAACTTTTCCTCCAACCAAGGAATATATCAGTGAATTACATAGATTTAAAGTGAATCACAGGGCCCCAATGTCAGGAAGGTTCACATACATTCTAGAATATAATGTGTGTTTGGGTCTCTAATTTCATTTCTGCTAGATAATTAGATTGATAAGTAAACTAATATTGGAAGAATAAAAAAACAAACTGTAATTTATATCAGTAAAACACTGCTTATCTCCTCTCTCAAAACACCAATTATTCAGCCAGTTGTACAGATGCATTCCTTATTGAAAATTGGCTAATCGTAATTAAGTGATAATACAATGTTTCCCCCAGAAAACAAATCTCTAAAAAAGAACGAAAAAATATCAAAACAAACAAACAAAGAAACGAACAAAAACTAAAGCTAATTTTTTTTCCCAGAAAAATATGTGTTCAGAATATTATATATATTTTGCTTTGGACAAAAGAAGTAAAGGAACACAGAACAGTTACAGTCAGGTCCATAAATATTGGGACAGTGACACAGTTTTGGTAATTTTGCCTCTGTACACCACCACAGTGGATTTGAAATGAAGCAGTCAAGATGTGACTGAAGCGTAGACTTTCAGCTTTAATTCAAGGGGTTTAACAAAAATATTGCATTAACCGTTTAGGAATTACAGCCATTTTTTACAGAGTTCCT